GCTATTCAATCTATAACAGTGAAAAAAGTTTTTTGTTTTTAAATCCAAGCTATTGTGACACCAGATATAAGTGGTGGCACTGGTCACCGTATCCCCTGTTAGCTTAACACACCCGCTTTAAGGACACTGACTGCTATTCAATCTATAACAGTGAAAAAAGTGTTTTTTTTTTAATCCAAGCTATTGTGACACCAGATATAAGTGGTGGCACTGACTGGGGAAATGGGCACAGTATGCACTGTGAGCCTGACACAGAAGCTGGCAGCAGTGGCAGACAACTGACTGCTATTCAATCTATAACAGTGAAAAAAGTTTTGTTTTAAATCCAAGCTATTGTGACACCAGATATAAGTGGTGGCACTGGTCACAGTATCCACCTCGTTAGCCGCGAATACACCCGCTTTAAGGACACACACTGACTGCTATTCAAATCTATAACAGTGAAAAAGTGTTTGTTTTTTTAAATCCAAGCTATTGTGACACCAGATCTAAGTGGTGGCACTGTCACCGTGATCCACTGTTAGCTTAACACACCCGGGCTTTAAGGACACCTCGACTGCTATTCAATCTATAACAGTGAAAAAGTGTTTTGTTTTTAAATCCAAAGCTTTGCGTCACTCAGATCTAAGTGGTGGCACTGGTCACCGACATCCACTGTTAGCGAATACACCTGCTTTTAATGACACTGGACTGCTATTCAATCTATAACAGTGAAAAAAGTGTTTTGTTTTAACCAAGCTTTGTGTCACTCAGATCTAAGTGGTGGCACTGGTCACCAGATCCACTGTTAGCGCACACACCCGCTTTAAGGACACTGACTGGCATTCAATCTATAAACAGTGAAAAAAAAGTGTTTTTTCTTTTAAAATCCAAGCTATTGACACCAGATGTAGCGGTGGTAACTGACTGTGTCGGGCACAGCATGCACTGTGAGCCTGGACACAGAAGCTGCGCAGTGGCAGACAACTGGACTGCTATTCAATCTATGTAACAGTAAAAAAAGTTTTTTGTTTTTAAATCCAAGCTATTGTGACACCAGATGTAATTGGTGGCACTGACTGGGGAAATGGGCACAGTATGCACCGTGAGCCTGACACAGAAGCTGGCAGCAGTGGCAGACAACTGACTGCTATTCAATCTATAACAGTGAAAAAAGTTTTTTGTTTTTAAATCCAAGCTATTGTGACACCAGATGCAAGTGGTGGCACTGACTGGGGAAATGGGCACAGTATGCACTGTGAGCCTGACACAGAAGCTGGCAGCAGTGGCAGACAACTAAGTGCATTTGCATTACATAGAAAAAAAAAATTAAAAAAAAAGCATACCCTTATCCCTAACCTAGCTATGCTTTTCCCTATCTTATGAACAGCAGCTACACTTTCCCTCCTCTTACTAAGCATGCAGCTTGAGAATGAATCTAAAATGGATGCCTTCCAGTAGGTGGGAGGGTCTGCTAGGGAGGGTGTGCTGCTAATTGGCTGGAATGTGTCTGCTGACTGTGAGGTACAGGGTCAAAGTTTACTCAATGATGACGAATAGGGGGCGGGTCGAACCGCGCATATGTTCGCCCGCCGTGGCGAACGCGAACATGCTATGTTCGCCAGGAACCGTTCGCCAGCGAACCGTTCGGTACATCACTAGTAAGGACATAGAACTTTCAAGATTTTTCTTTAATTGCTTGAACAATGAGGACATTTCCATATTTTGAATAGAAACCATTGGATTAGAAGTTGTCTTGGGATCTTCAGGAAACAAGGAGGGATGGAATCCATAATTTGAAAAGAATGGAGTCATTTTGCTGCTTGCATGTATGAAATTATTATAGGCAAATTCAGCCATGGGTAACCAATTACTCCAGTCATCTTGTAAATACGTACAGTAACAATGAAGGTATTCTTCCAGACATTGATGGACTCGTTCTGTTTGACCATTTGTTTGGGGATGGTATGCTGAAGAAAGTTTACGTTGGATTTGAAGTGAAGAACACGTTTCCTTCCAAAAATGTGAAGTAAATTGAGAACCTCTGTCTGAGATTATTTCTTCAGGAAATCCATGTAATTTGATTATATTGTCAATAAAAACTTTAGAAAGTTCAGAGAATGATGGTAACTTTTTCAAAGGAATGAAATGTGACATTTTGTAAAATGGTCTACGACAACAAGGATGGTGGTGTATTTCTGAGAAGGAGGGAGTTCCACCATAAAGTCCATGGAAATAGACTGCCAAGGTCTCTCAGGTACTGGTAATCCAGTCAATAATCCATAAGGAAGGTGACGTTCCGCTTTGGACCTTTGACAAACTGGACAAGACTTTACATAGGATACAATGGCTTTGTCTTGACTAGACCACCAATATTGTCTAGTAGAGAGTTCAATTGTCCTTTTTATTCCGAGATGTCCAGCAAGAGGAGAGTCATGAATTAATTTTAAAAGGTTATGTCGGAGTTTTGGAGGAATATAAATTCTATTTTTGAAATAAAAGATTCCATCTTTTTTGAACAATTTAGGAGTAGAAGGTAGTTCAAGTTCTTTGAAGGATAATTGTTTCAGTTCATCTAATATAGTTGTTGTATATCCAATAACTTTATTGTTTGATAATATTGAAAAAGTTTTCTTTTCTAGCGAAGGATTGCACGGAATTCTGGAAAGAGCATCAGCTTTTTTGTTACGAGATCCAGGTCTATAAACTATTTGAAAATTGAATCGATCAAAGAAAAGGTTCCATCTTATTTGTCTGGAAGACAAGGTTTTATTTGAATGGAGGTATTCAAGATTCCTGTGGTCAGTGTAAACAATGATAGGAATTTCATTTCCTTCTAGAAGGTGACGCTAATTCTCAAAAGCTACTTTAATGCCTAACAATTCTTTTTCTCCAACAGGATAGTTTTTTTCTGCTGATGTTAAGGATCTTGAGAGAAAAGCAACAGGATGGAGAGAATCTTGAGGTGTTTTTGCTGAGAAAGAACTGCTCCAATAGCATTTTCAGATGCATCTACTTGTAGGACATAAGGATATGAAGGATTTGGAAGGTGTAGAACAGGAGCAGTTGTAAATCTGTTTTTTAATTCATCAAAAGCTTCTTGTGCATTGTTATTCCACCTAAAGGGATGTTTGTTTCCGGTAAGGGCATGGAGAGGATGGGCTACTTCAGAGAAATTCTTGATAAACTTCCTGTAAAAATTTGCAAAACCAAGAAATCTCTGGACATCTTTGATGGATGAAGGTTTAGGCCAGTCAATAATGCATTTTATTTTGGAATCATCCATTCTTATTGAATGAGGCGAAATAATATAGCCAAGAAAATTGAGTTCTTTAACTTCAAATAAACATTTTTCTGGTTTCCTATGATCTTTAAGGTTATCAGAATAAATGAATATGTCATCTAGATAGATAATGACACAAGTGTCCAAGAGGTCTCTGAAAATATCATTAATAAAGTGTTGGAAAGTAGCTGGAGTATTACAGAGTCCAAATGGCACAACCAAATATTCAAACAGGCCATGTCTAGTACGGAAAGCCATCTTCCATTCATCATCCTTTTTGATCCTAATTGGATTATAAGCTCCTTGGAGATCAAGTTTAGTAAAAATAGTTGCCGTGCGTAATCTTTCAATTAGTTCAGAAATCAAAGGTAAAGGGTAGCGTTTTTTTACTGTAATTTTATTTAAAACACGGTAATCAATTATAGGACGTATAGTTTGATCTTTGTTTCTTACAAAAAACATCCCTGAGGCAGCAGGAGATCTAGAAGGACGTATGAATCCTTTACAGAGATTTTCATCAAGGTACTCTTTAAGAATTCCCAATTCTTTTTCAGAAAGTGGATAGATGTGACCATAGGGAATAGGAGCACCAGGAATAAGATCAATAGGACAATCATAAATTCTATGAGGAGGAAGAGTTTCAGCTTCTTTTTTACTAAACACATCGGAATAATCTGAATATTATTCTGGTATTACGGTTTCTTGACTTAATTGAAGTATAGGAATCTGTGGAAGACAGTTATCCTTACAATATTCTGAGTCAAAGGTGAGAGAGAAGGGAGCCTAACGAATGAAGGGATTATGAATTTGTAACCAGTTGATTCCTAAGATGATTGGAAAAAAAGGGGATTTTATAATATCAAAAACAAGAAATTCTGAATGGTTATTATTGACAATTGTCCTGATAGGAATAGTATCATTTTTTATAGGACCAGAGGGGATTAAAGATCCACCAATAACTCTGATGGAGACAAAAGATGCTTTTTTCATGCGCAAAGGTGGATTGGGTTTTTTTCAAAATGAATTAATGAGAGCCTTTTCAGCTTTATGTTCTCTGATTCTTCTATCTATACTGATAGAGAGTTGAATTAATGTATCAAGCGTTGGAGGAAGAGTGGTTCTAGATAATTCATCTTTAACTGGTTCAGACAATCCTAAACAGAACTGATTACATAGAGCTATATCATTCCATCGGGTTTCTGAAGCCCATCTTTTAAATTAAGCTATATAATCCTCCACAGGATGATTTCTTTGTTGTAATAATCTAATAGTAAGATCAGCTGTAGCTTGTTTATTAGGGTCCTCATAAAGTAATGACATTGCTTCAATAAAATTATTCAAAGAATCCAAAATAGGATCTTCATTTTCCAGAAATGAATGTGCCAGGACATAGGTTCACCCCTTAAGTAGGAAATTATTGAACAAACTTTAATCCTGTCTGTGGGTTATGCCCTAGGTTTAAGAGTAAACAATAATTTGCATGAATTCAAAAATTCTCTATATTTAGAGCGATCTCCATAAACATTTTCAGGGTTGCAGACAGCAGGGTCACTTGAAGAATGAGTAACCTTATTTTGCATTTCTCTAATGTAAGAAAGAAGTCTCTCATTAGCAATTTGCAAATCCTGCATGCCTTGTGTGAGAATTTCAACTCTGTGGTTTAAAGAGGTAATTTGGGAATTCACTTCTGCTGGTTCCATTTTAGGTCTTGGTGATTCTGTTACGCTACTTGGTGATTTGGATTGGAACTCAACTGCAGCTTGTAAAACTTCCTAATTATAATTGTAAAGAAACGGAGAATCTTTAGAGTATCAATACTGTAGCTTTAAGAAAAGAGGGAATCGCTGGTAACTTGATTCAAATGAAGTTTTAATAAGTGTTATACTTAAATGAATTGCATTTAGGCAATAATCCAATAAGAAGAAGTGCAAGTAATCAACAACACAAAGTTCATTAATAAGTATTTCCTCAGAGATGCATTAAGTAACATTCTTTAAGTTCATGAGAATAATCTTCAATAGAAACATTAAGCAAGTAGCTGAGAATATTTGCAAAGCAAGAACAGTTCATAGTTAGTGATGTCCCAAACCGTTGTGTCCCAGAAGCCGGCGTGCATACTCGGAAGTAGGATCCACATTGCCAGAGCCTGCGGAGAGGTAAGTCTGGCGGAAGTAGCTCCCAGTATCACCAAGCACCCTCTCGCTGGCGCGTCTCCCTAAATACCGTCAGAGCTGCGTCAGAGGGGGACGGGGTCCGGCTCCGCGCAGCGGAGTGCCGAACTCGGAAGTGTTACCGCATGACAATTACAGACTGTAGCAGGACAATATGACTTGTGGGAAGACCTATTAGGAGAGAGTTACAATAATCCATGTGAGAGATTACTAGAGCATGGACAAGTTCCTTAGAAGCATCTTGTGTAAGAAAGGAGCAGATGCGGAATATGTTTTTAAGGTGGAATCTACAGGATTTGATAACAGACTAGATGTGAGGCTCAAATGTGAGTCCAGAATCAAGTATAATGCCAAGACAGCACGTTTGCAAAGATGGACTGATGTGGGTACCACTCACTTGAAGGGAGAGTGAAAGCGGGTGATCAGTATTAGTAGGAGGAAAGACAAGTAGTTCAGTTTTAAACAGATTGAGTTTCAAAAAGAGGACATCCAATCAGAGATGGAAGAAAGACAAGCAGTGAGATGTTGCAGGACGGCAGAGGAGAGATCTGGGCAGGAGAGGTATATCTGAGTGTCATCAGCGTACAGGTGGTATTGGAATCCAAATGAGGTAATAAGGTTGCCAAGAGAGGCAGTATAAAGAGATAATACAAGTACAGATCCTTTGGGGACTCCAACAGAGACAGGACGAAGAAAGAAGGTATCATTAGCAAAGGAGACACTGATTGAGCGTTGGGAGAGCTAGGAGGAAAACCAAGACAGGACAATGTCACAGAGACTAAGTGATTGAAGAGTTTGGAGAAGGAGAACATGGTCAACAGTGTCAAACACAACAGAGAGGTCAAGAAGAATTAG